GTAAACACCTTTTCTTCCAGTAGTTCTGCAGCTGCTGGCCCTGGTTGCTCAGCCAACAGTCCTGAGTCCTGTAACCCATTTTTCACCAGATATCCAGGAACTCCGATATCTAGCGCGGACCTTGTTAACCCGGGCGATGTCTGAGCCGGTATGGCATTCTGCAATTTACGTCTCACCATATTTTTTATGGGAGAGACACTCTTTGTCTGACTCCTCTGCTGAGACCTGTCCAGTATGGTTGAACCTCTGGCATAGCTCTCATCTTCCTCAGAGTACACAAGCCCCACAACCACGTCAAGGTAGTGCCTCACTGGGGGATTATTATTATTATTATTTGTTAGAAGTTAATTGGACACTCACATCTGTTCTGAAGGGCATGGAGAGAAGAATGATTGAATGACAGGCACAGGAAATATACTCCATGGATATGCTATCACAGTATATAATTGCCTTCCATTTTGAATTGTGCTAATAATGGGTAAGTTTCTGGGTGGAGGAACAGATTCATCTGCATGATAAAGAAAGACGGGAGAGGACCTACAAATATCAGTTAGACAATGTTGGCATTATGAGGGCAGCCAATAAATTTTGCAGCCAAGGATAATTCTGGTGACATGGCAAAAGAATCACTGACCAAATGTCAATCCTAACACTTTTATCCTTTTAAGAACATGACATAGAAACAGCAGCTCTGGGTCCAGCCAACTCTTTAATATTCTTGCTTCACAACAGGAAGATAGGCCTAAGCAATTTAGGCAATTTAACCCAGGCAAGTTGGAATATGCTGCTCAGTTTTGGCAAAGATTTGAAAGGATTATGCATTTTTAAAATGTGGTTATTGAAGACAAGAGCTCACAGCAATATTATATGATTTATTGGCTTCCTCGGAGGAATGCTCGGAAAAGATGCAATATTATTTGAGGACACTGCTGATAAACATTTGTCCAGGCTAATTAAATACAGAAATGCTGGGACCGGGGGAAAAAAATCCTGCAAAACAAACTTTGCACTTGATTTGATTAGAGAACTTTTCAAATTGACATTTCTGCATCAATCTTTGGCAAGTTTCTGTTTTTGCTATTCACAGTTACACTGCTATAGTGTTTTTGGTAAATCTGCGTAAATATTTCAATCATTCTTTTTTTCTCATTTGAATTCTGAAGATCCCGGGACTCTTCTGAGAATTCATTTAATTCTCTAGTTTGCCATCTGTAGCGGATTATCAATTATGCCCATTATAGCCCTAACTGAAAACTCTAATTCAGCCTTCTAGAGATGCACTTTAAATGCAGGTAGTCCTCAGCTTACGACCACAATTGAGCCCAAAATTTCTGTTGCTAAATGAAACATTTGTGAAGTAAATTTTGCCCCATTTTACGACTTTTCTTGCCACAGTGGTTAAGTGAATCACTGCAGTTATTAAGCTATTAACATGGTTGTTAAGTGAGTTTGGATTCCCACTGACTTTGTCTATAAGAAAGCCGCAAAAGATGATCACATAACTCTGGGACACTGCAACCGTCATAAATATGAGTCAGTTGCCAAGCATCTGAATTTTGATCAGGTGACCATGGGGATGCTGCAACGGTCATAAGTGTGAAAACCGGTCATAAGTCACATTTTTCAGTGCCATTGTAACTTTGAAGGTCACTAAATGAACTGTTATAAATCGAGGACTACCTGCATATAGGATATATTATGAATGTATGTATACTTGGTCCTATCCTAGAGCATTATTTATAAATATATTGCTATATGTTGGTTGTTTTAGCGCAACTAATATTTGCTTACTAAGTTGCTGTTACATTCTGAACTAATTTTATTTATTTGTAATTATTGTGAAGGATTTTTGTCTTATGTTGCATCTTAATAAGGACACATTTATTATTATTGTCATGGATGTCCACACAGAATGCATAGATCTATTGCTGATCTCCTTGGCTATATCTGTTATTTCCTGTTTTATTATTTCCAGTGCTTCCTTGATTTTCCTTTTTTCCTAAGTGACATTTCTTGATCAGATATTCTTTGGTCTTCTTGTTCTTCAGCCTCTCCCCCCCCCCACAATCTTTTCTAGCTTGCTTGCATCTGATCTTAACATGCTGATCTTATTTTCCAACCTGCTCTTCCATTTTAGTAGTGCACTTTTTGTGTTTGTGTGTGTGTTTTTTTGGTATCGATAGAGTGGCCCTTATTAATCTGGGTGATAATTGATCTGAGGTGGGTTTCTGTAAATTACATTTCACCATATTGTTTATGGGAGAGACGCTCTTTGTCTGGCTCTTCTGATGAGACCTGTCCGGTACGGTTGATCCTCTGGAATAGCTCTCATCCTCCTCAGAGCATGCAAGCCCCACAACTACTGTATATGCCGGCGTATAAGACGACTTCCGGAAGCGCTAAACTCGGCGCCAAAGACGAGGGTCGTCTTACACGCCGAGTCGTCTTATACACCGGAAATACTGGTAGTTTCTGGCGTATAAGATGACGTTCTAGGAATGCGGCTCGGCGACAAAGACGGGGGTCGTCTTATACGCCGGGTCGCCTAATACGCCGGCATATATGGTACATCAAGATAGTAATTCTAAGTACTAGATTTATTCATATTTAGGAAATTTAAGAAATCTGGCAGTTTCACATTTGACAAATGGACAGATTAAGGAGACCTACTCTAATTCAGCTTTTCTACTGTGTGAGAATTTCAATCTCTGGTTCTGGTAATAGACGGTATTAAAAATATTTGCAGTAATTGAGATGACCCCTTGGTTTAAGACAGTGGTTCTCAACCTGTGGGTTGGGACCCCATTTGGGATCGAACGACCATTTCATGGGGGTCGCCAAACAACGCAGTCCGCCATTTTTTCCCGCTTTTCCTTAGCTGTGCTATTCCCTTTTATTCTATTGGCTTTTGAAAGCCAATAGAATAGACTCTCTTGAATAGAGTCTAATTCTATTGGCTTTCAAAAGCCAATAGGAATTGTCCAGGCTGTCTCTGCCCTGCTGAGCCCACCAAAAGTCCCATTCTGCAAACGGTGCTGCACCAGTTGAGTAGTCCTCGACTTACGACCGGTTGGGGGGTCGCGGCATTAAAAAGGTTGAGAACTACTGGTTTAAGATCTGTGCCATTTGAGCAATGAAATTTAGGCCAATCACTCTCCCTTAGCTTAACAATGTTAAATGAAGGTATTAAAGGATAATTCATCTTTTTCCTAATATAAAGTGTGTGTTATCTAACTGAAGATCTTTTATATACTTTGAAATGATTAGATGCAGGTTGATGCCCTCCCAACCCTGTGCATTTATTGCAACCACTATCTGAAGAGAGTTTTCCACAACAGCCAAACATGTTCAGTCAACCCACAAAGCAGGACAAAGCCTGGCAGCCCGTTGGCTGTTAACTGGTGGTTCTCCAAAAATCTGCTATCAGCCCTTGCTTTGCCAAAAGTTCTGCAAACCAAATGAGGGGACTCCTGGCTTAGAGAACATCCATATAAGAGGAAAAGGGTGTGAAGAGATGGAAACATTCGTGTGTTTTCCTAGGAAAGAAAACCAGCTTTATTGACAGAACCATAGGGAGATTTGGTGCACATTTGTGCGTATGTGTGCCAGCCTATGAGATTTCAGTGCCTGAGGCACAGCAGTAAACAATACCTGCCAGCCTACCCACCCACCTCCTCCCAGGATCCTTTGCTGTGTGGCAGAAGGATAAACAAGTTATTTTGGCAATGGAAGAAAACATACTGCTCTCTCTCCATGGCTGTAAAAGTAAAATGCTACATTAATAAACAATTTACCACCTTTTTGTAATGCCAAAATCCTGCTGCCTTAGGTGGCCACTTAATTTTATCTAGTGGTAAAATCAGCCACGTCGTGTATATTACAAGTGCTTGGAAAGACACGTTTGTGTCTATGATTACTATTTCTGTGTTAATGCTGTCAAATGTGTGTCTGAAATCAACAGATTTCTCATGATGTGAGAAGCCTGTGACTTCTCCTCTCTCTTTTCTAACTAATTAGCAGTCACTCTGCATTTTGGGCAAATGAGGCCATGAAAAGATTATTATTTTTTTGACACTCGCTCTTGACACCATTTCTCTACTAGTACCACTTTTATTTCAGCAGAGAAAAATAGTGAGATACTATGCATCCTACAGGTAGTCCTGGACTTAAAATTGTTTGTTTAGTGACTGTTCAAAGTTACAATGGCCCTGAAAAAAAGTGACTTGTGATTGTTTTTCACACTTATGACTGTTGAAGCAGCCCCATGACTAAAATTCAAACCCTTGGCCACTGACTCACACCTTTATAATGGTTGCAGTGTCCCGGAGTCCTGTGATCACCTTTTGCAACCTTCTGACAAGCAAAGTTAATAGGGAAGCCAGATTCACTTAACAAATGCATTATTCACTTATAACCAATGTAGCAAGACAGGTTGTAAAAGGGGGCAAAACTCATTTAAAAAATACCAGGCTTACCAACAGAAATTTTGGGCTTAAGTGTGGTCGTAAGTCAAGGACCACTGTGTAGATTACATTTTCAATTCATATCCATGTTGTCTTCTGGCAACTAAGACAGCTTTGAGGAGCACAATTAAACTGGGGAAATGGTCCAAGACATGCTCCTTTATGCTTGCCAAGGCGTGGGGACAAGAAGGGGGGGGGGAATCTCAAAGACTAGAGCTGAAGAAATATTTTGGTGGAGATGAAAGGAAACTGATGGGAGATCCAGGACAGTGCTTGGATTTGCATCTGAGCTCTGTGAGAAGTTGGAGGATTTGCCTGCTGTTTTCAGCCATCTCAAGGTCTGTTCCTAAACCAAGTTCTGACAAATTTCTGCAATATCCCTAACTTGGGCTTTTATCTCTCATCTCAGTTTCCCCACTTCCACACAGACAAGACACAAAACAACATAGCCTTAGCTGGGTTTGGCTAGACCAAGATACAAAATATGGCCAGCATACTGTCTTCTTATCTTTTACTCACTGCTGCTTTCAAACTGACCTTGAGGAGCAATTGAGGGATTTCCAACGAAACGGTCTTCTGCTGGGCCAGGGTCTTTTTTAGTTCTTTGACATGGGCTGTGATGAAAAAATGCAGGGAAGCTTGTTCGACCAACTCGCTCATGTAGTCACTTGACTCAATGGACACCACAAGAACTTCACCTGACAGGAGGAACAAACAGAGAAACGCCACTGAAGTCTGTGTAGCTATACTGTAGCTGCCAGTTATTATTCCCAGTGCCCATTTGTGGTATGCTACTCCAGATTATATCAGATGCAGTAAAGATGTTGCTTGAAGAAGGGCCCAGTGCTTTTAAATATGCAAAGAAACATAGTTGTAGTTCCCTTTCCCTGCTATGATTGAACAGAATGGCCAGACCTGTATTTGATTCACTTCCACCCACACAACCAACAGCATTTACCTTAAACTGCTGCTACTAGCAAAAGTAGAATACCTGAAATAGGAAATATTTCATTAAAAAACTACTTTGGATCTTTTCCCTTTACCGCTAAACTGTTTTCCACACATTCTTCGCTTTGCAGAAAAAATTCCTTCAGCCAATCCCAATCCAGCCTTTGTTTCCATTCCCAGTTAATGCAAATCACATATTTTCTTTGTGAGAACAAAGTCTAACTGCTTCTGTACATTTATTTACAATGATTTACTAAACCAATTTATATAGCCACCCAACTCATACACCGTGATTCAGGAAGTGTACAACATTTGGAGGCTATCCTTCGACAGTGTTGGAATAAAAAGGAAATACTACTTTAAAGCTGAAAAAGTTAAAAATTCTTTATGTGTTTCATTCATTCAATTGGGGATGAGATGAAGGCAACATCATGGGGACATGGCAGAAAAAGGAAGATTGCCAGGTACAATAAAAATCACTTTTCTTGCAAAAACAAATTTGTCTTGCATTAAGCCACTAATATTGTGTGTGTGTGTGTGTGTGTGTGTGTGTGAGAGAGAGAGAGAGAGAGAGAGAGAGAGAGAGAGAGAGAGAGAGAGGGAGAGAGAGAGATTCTTGTATTTGTTCTTTTGGAATTTGGAAAATAGCTTGCTAATAAATCTTTCTTGAAGCTACTGAGATCACCTGGAGAAATCTGACATTTAAAAGCAATCTCAGAAGGGCATTTAAGAGTACCAATGTTCTCAAAGAGCAGTGCTTGTTCCAGCAAAGGGGAAAAAAAGGTGCTACAGGGCTCTCCAAAATATTTCAGCCCCCTCAGAGCATTTTGATCCTCTCTTGTAATAGAAAGCAGAGCCTGATTCTACTCCTGTCCTATATCTGCATTTCACCTTGTCTATGGTTTACCATGATTTATTTATTCATCCCATTTCCCCATGTTTATATGATATACTGAACCATAAACTGACAAGTTAAAGTTATAGCAGGGCATCTTGGAGGTCAGGCATCTGAGGCTAATCTGGATTTTTGCAGGCCAGCTCTGATATCCCGTGTTTGTGATTTGTGCATTAGTCTCTATCCAGGCCTACAGTCAGACTGTGGTTTGTAGAAATAGGAAACTTGGGGACAACCAGGTGTTAATCAGGTACAATATCCAACAGCCTTGCTGTTAACTATGGTAGCTGTGCTTGCTGCAAGTTACATTTCAATTACATCTGAAGGGCTGAATGGATGGAATATATCCTTCCTTCCATTAAAACAACTAAGGATTCCAAAACTTTTTAGTTTCACATATTCCTCTGTCCCATACTTTGTTCCAACCACTGTTTATTGAACAAGTCCTGAGCTCTTGCCATAACCAGTAGATGTTGTTGCATGAAATGTCATCCAGTTAGACTGGGAATTGTTTTATTAACAGGCATCAAAATGTTGTGGGCTATTCTGATTTAGGCCAGGAAGTGAGCTCTTCTTAGATGTAAGAAATAAGGTGTGGACCAAAAGTCTATCTGGCCAAAGGTTTTTAAAATCTATATTACAAATTGAATAAATAAGAGTGATTTCCCATATTTATTTAGCTGGGATGCTAACATCCCTCCTCCTGAACTGAATGGGCTTTACTGTACTTCTGAGTCAACATGTATTGGGTATTGGGACCCAACTCCTGCAAACACCTCCCCAAGCAATCTTTTTGCTGTCTCCTGGACTCTTTCCAACTGTGCAACAAAAAAATTCCAAAACTTGGTAGAATGATTTTTGAGAGGAGGAATACATAAAATCTGTAGCATAAAGCCTAAAGTATTACAGTATTTAGAATCACACTGGTAATGATTTAAAAGCTAGCCAGCTGATGTAATGTAAGATGTATGATGTAACGTTGGGAATGACTCAGCAGGGTCTGTATCTCTTTAAGAGCCTTTGAATAAAAGGGAAGGCTCTGCTGCTGTGTTCTCTCTCTTCTGTTTCCTGCTGTAACTGCTGTGTGTTGAAGCCTGCTGAATTAACACATGTATGTATATTGTTCCTGGTGTATGATATATTGTAGATAGTGTAAGATAAACCACCATTTAATATAGACCATAGCTTTACTTTATCTCAGCACAATAAGACTATATGCTTTGACCTCTTATTAGAAAACATACTGGAAATCAGGGAAACCTATTAAAGAGAAGCTGGATTCTGTAGGCCTAAGGGAAGTGTGTTGAGCCACTGAGCTGGGCAGCATCAGAAGGTACAAATTTTAACCTCTTATCTTGACAGTATTACATGTGAAGTTCTAACTCTATATTGTGAGGTTATTGTATAAAAAATCGTGCTGCTTTTTTCTCCTGTTGTTCCATCCACTTCAAAACAGAACTCTTGAATTCCTTCTTATTGCTATTTGCAGGCAGCCATCTGACCCAGATTCTAAGACAATCAAAAGCTGTTTGATGTGCTTCCTCAGCTGCAAAGGAATTTACAAAAAGTGTCTGTAAGTCTTAACCTTGAATAAAACTCTGGAGCAGTTAATTCTCTTGGAAAAGAGTAAAGAAATAAATGAGCTGGGTGACACGTGAATCCCATTTCAAAGTTCCAAAAAAGGAAAGTAAGGAAAACATTTCAGGTAACATTTGTACTTGTATTCAGTCTTCTCTTAAAAGTGGCATAAACTGACTTTCAAAAATTTCCATCAAATTTGTGCATAAAGAAATAGGACAATTTCTCCAAATGCTTCCAGGATAAGTAGAAATTTCTCAAGAGTAGAATTCCCTTCAGTTGCAATAGTAATACCACAACTGAGAAAACTGTATGATAAGAGTTCCTTCCTTCTTTAGGTTAGAGCTGAAGAATGTGAAGCCAAAGAGGAAGCAACTGAAGGAGAGCAGATTGTACAAGTAAAAATAGGGACATTCATACACCATTTCCACTGTGCAACTAGATAAGCATAAGAATATGACAAAATAATTTATCCAAACAAGTTTTCTTTTGTCAGATTGAACATTAAAAACATGAAGAAAATAATATTTTCCTGGTACTAATTTATGGTAGATGTATGTCCCACTGAAGTAGTAGTAAAGTCAGTATGAGCCATACAAGATCAATCTGTAGAGGAAGGGATTATTGTTATTATTAATTACATGTATGAGCCATTTACTTCCAATGGACAAGTGAAAAAATTAAAAACAAAGAAAAATATAGTAAGATAAATAAACACAAGAATAAAAGATGGCAAGGATAGCAAGAGAACCAGATGGGATGGAAAAGAGACAAAAATGCAGTCCAGGGGGATGTCACTCTCTGTCGCCAAATGCCTGGGTGAAGAGCTAAATCTTCAAAGTCCAAACAGGGGACCATCTGAATCTGGAAGGGAGGGAGAGACCTTAGTCTAGAGAGGAGGTGCTGCTACAGAGAAGACACCCTTCCAGAATGCTGATAGATGGCTTTATTTAATCAAAGAAATTTGGAGTGTATCATTCCTGCCAGTTTGAATAGGTCAGGCAGGTACAATGGAGATGGCCATTAGCCTGACACTAATGATGTATACATTTATCACTAGGTCCACATTATATCTGTACAATGATTGAAATAGCATTCATACAAGAAGACTATATATAACAGCTCAGTCCAGTGATTTCTCTTCCAGCTTTGCGGACCGGTGGGGGGGGGGGGGAAGTGGAGATGGTTTTGTATGAACAGCAGGCAAGCATGCATGTCCCACTCTATTTGTGCAAGTGGCAGGCATGCGCACACACTGCTCGCACCAATGGTGTGTGGGCACACGTGCTTACCTGCTGCTCATGCAAGTGGGGATGTGCGCTTGCGAGATCGCCCACTACTTCCACACTCTGGTTCCAAATGGCTCAAGGCCTGGTAGTAGGCCGCGGCCTGGGGGTTGGGTACGCCTGCTCTAGATTTTGGCTCTAAATCCATCAGCTAACATCCAATGAGCAGATGATATTAGGAAAATTCAGAGCTGGAACAGGTATTCTAAAAGGATAGGGACTTCTGGTTTTGCACAATAGCGACCGGTTGTGGGCTTGCGGATTCTCTGCACCCCTGCAGCTAATTTTGCCCTGCCTGGGGACCCTAAATGGGTCTAAGTCACCCCGGAGAGGCGATGAAGAAAGAAGGGTGCTCCAGCGATTCTGGAATGGTGGCAGCCATTCCGCTCAACTTGGGAAAAACCTTCTAATCTAACAGGAGAAGGCTGGCCATATTGCATCGACCAGCCCAAGCTATTAGCAACTGAAGCCCAAAAGCACTAACCAGCACAACTGTGAACAGCGTGCTTGAAACTGGGTGAGAAATTTGATCTTCTCTTTTCTATTCTACATTTGATTTCCTGGAAAAGATCCCCAAGAAGCACAATACCTCCAAAAGGGAAGGAGGGGGATTTCTGCCCCACCCTTTGACTAACGGAAGCAGCAAATTAATCTTTTATGGGGGATCAAAATATATGGAAGTGAAGTAAATATAAAACCTGAAATTTAAAACTTAAATCTGAATAAATCTAAAATTGTTTGAATGGTTAAGACTCTCATTTTAAAGATAATTGTTCATTTTGGAAATTGAAAAACAAATAGTTGCTGACACCTAGTGGTGGATGAAGATTATGATAGCTATGACTTTAATATAAGACTTGGAAAACCTGGAAAAAGCTAATCAGTGTTTGTGACCTTTAAAGTTTTAACAACAAAGAACAGCTGTGACAAAAAAAGACAATAATCTGGACTGTAGACAAAGAGAGAATTATAAATTTCAGAAAAAAATATTTTTTGAACTATTTGGATTACAAATATCTATTTAATTAGGTCCCTAAAGCCATTTGCAGAGAAAAGAAAGGAAGAGAAAAACTCAAATGCTTGGCCATCATGGATCAGAGACATGTAGAAAGAACATATCAAGAAAACATAAATACTTCACATAAGTATATATAGTATACTGCAACTAATTCAAACAACAATGTTTTTAAATCACAAAGAAATCCAAAATAACTTTGAAAATATAAATCAATCTATTTCTAAGTTAACTTTACAACAAAAAAATTCCCAGAAAACAACAACAGAGAAGGAGCAGATAAAACAGATAAATAAATATAAAATTGAGAATAGAGACTTAAAGATGGAACTTAACAAAACAAGGAAACATGATTTAATCCTAGTGGAAAAAAACCTATCCCTTAAGACTACAAAATAAATCTGAGGACAAGAAAACAGATTGGATAAAATGGACTGTAGAGATGTCAGGAACATCGGAGAGAAAGGAAATGATAAGAGAAGCGGAGAGAAAGAAAAAGAAAAAGATTTTCAACAAATATGGAAAGGCAGAAGCCCTGTACAAAGACACTTCACCTGATTTACTTTTTATATCTACAGCAACATTTACAAACATACAGAAAACCTTTTTGATTCAGCAAAATACATTGATTAAGAAAGATACTGGGCAAAGGAAAAAGACTAAAGTGGAAACCAAGAAAATAGATGATAGACTTACCAGAGAGAATACTTAAAAAAGAAATATTTGTTTGAATATGGTTAAAGAAATAGAAACGTTTTGGAATATATATGTCATTCTAAGAAGGATGAATTCCCTAAAATATAATCAATAAAACATATTACAAAAATAAATAAATAAAAAGGATAGGATTGATTACGACAAATCTTCTTTCTTATTGCTTATAACTTATGTTTCTTCATTTGAGTTTAGTTAGATATGGGTTACAAGGCCACCAACTGAAGGGCATAAATGAAATAATCATAAAAATCAGCAAGACTTATTTATTTTAAGACAAAGATTGATCATAGGCAAGTATATTGATTTAATTTCAAAAGACCTCCCAAAGTCAGTTAATATTATACTTAGAATAAATGTTCCTTTTCTGAGCAATCCATAAGCAAGGAGATAATGAGAAGAAAAGAGAGAGCAGAAGATGGCAGACGAGTAATAAGAGATGGTATAGACATCCAATTTTGATTTGGGCCCCATACACCGCTGGCTTGCCCTTAGCTAGGACAGGCAGACCTTAATGAATTGTTCCTGTGAAACTGCTAGCATCAAGAAGTGACTTTTAAGCCAGGGTACTAGGAGATCTTCTCAGGGAGATGGCAGTTCAAAAATGTGAAAAATAAATAAATAAAAACGTTGTTCATTGGAAGAAGAGGTCTTTTCAAGTTTTGGTTTACAAGGAGGAAAGTGATTAAATAATAGGGCAAAACAAGATTCCTAGTTATATTCATTGGCATGTTCTTGGATAAAACAAATATAGCAATATTATTAGTGTGTGTCAAAGAATCTTTTTTTTATCTCACAGAATATTTTCCCTTTGGAGATACTGATATATTCACATCTACAGACTTTGTCACATGCACAAACCTTTTTCACATGCTTTGGGGGATCATATTCTAAAAGGAAACCTATTTTGCCCCAATTTTCCATAATTTTTTTCATAAACACAGCTCCTATTCATAATCATACCTGCATTATCTACCATATGTAAAATATATCTGAAGCCATGCATAGGTTTTGCTATATAATTAATTTTAAAAAGTTATAAAAACCCCTCTCAATATATCTATATACACTGTGTGTAATTAAAATACAGTCAAACACTTTTGTCCATCTGTGGATATGAGTTTCAGTACAAAAAAAAAATCTACACAGTACAGTAGTGTTTATTTTTAGATTGCCAAAAAATATTACACCTAACAAGCCAAGAATGTTACACACTATAGCCTTCATTAAACATGGAGCAGATGTGGGAGACAGTATCCAGCTTTTAAGTGTTCTGCTGTGCAAATAAATATTTAATGTGAAATGAGACCTTCGCAAGACCATCAGTCAGACTCCTATTTAATTTCTAATTAGTGTGTTTTAAATTTATAATTAGTATAATTCCAAGCACTGGTACATAGATCTGGATTTAATAATCAGGTATTTTCAAGCCCCTTCTCAAACCTCACCATCAAAATTAACACTTTATATGACTGGAGGTAACCAGGCCTGCCTTCTTCCTGTTCTGAACCAATTTATTAAGCAGTTGGTAGCTTAGATTTCATTAAATTCCCCAGAGTGGTGCTATGTCAGACCACTGTGTGAAATTTAAAACCAGGAGCATTTTGGTTCCATTTTTTTTAAAACTGGTGTAGATCTGTTCTTTTCTGCCACTGCACACCAGCCAACAGCAGTTCTGATGATTTTGAGAGAGATGAGTGCTTTGTATACTAGACAGCACTTTGAGCTTGGAATCGGTCCTATTACATTTGGCCTACAAAGTCAAAAACTCCAAGCTACAAATATCTGAAAGATCACTGCTTCCCTATTATGGACATAAAACAAATTTATGGCAAAGCTTTTTGGGGGAGAAAACGCTGGACTGGGTCATGGCCTAGATGCCAGAACTGAATGAAATCTGCTGACCGTTCCTTTTCTAAAATCTAGAAAACAAAGTTCATGTCTTTGAAAGAAATGCCTCTACAATAGACTGCATTTCTGAGGCCATTATGGCAGGAAAGTTCTATGGTAAAAAAAGAATAGTCATACCAGAGTTTTCTTAAGGGAGAATTTAAAACTATATAAATCAGCAGAAGCTGGTTATTGTTTTTTTTTAAAAAGCTGTATAAATTAAAAAGACCTGTTAAAGTAAACAGTTGTACTTTTCTTGCCAGAATTTCAAAAGCAAAATGGATGAGAATACAGCATTGCAAACATAAACAGTAAAAGATATTGAATTGTTAGTGATCTATATATCCCTAACTCCCATATGAGTTTTCATTCAGTTCAGGCCATCATTTTATAAGTTCCCTTCTGCTTTTTGAAATTAGATAAGGAGCTACAAGAACACTTTCTCTACTGATTCAGACCATTTGAATATTCTTCTCAAGACTTGGTATAATAAAATATCAGGAAATCTATTTTTTCCCCTTACCAGTCTTTGTGCAATTCTATTTCTAGAGTCTTAAACCATTTTAATCAATTAATTAGATATTTTCTTGTTGATTATGGAAGCTTTTTATGCAATGTCAATTTCTGCAAAGATTCTGCAAAATACATTTTGAATAAATATATCCTTCTCCTCTTATTGTATCTTTAAGAAGTGGTGGGCTACATTAATCTTATCCCATCTGTTGCTCTCCTGATCTTTGGATTTCAATTCTGGTAATGCTAAATCAGCATGGTCAAATAATGAGGGATTATAGAAGCTGAAGTCCAACATTCCTAGACAATGCCAAGTTGGCTTCCACATTTGAATAAGTTGCATTAGCGATCCAGAGACAATTATTGTCTTACCTTTCATGGGTTCCAGGGTCAAATCAAAGCTGTCATTCTTGAATTCAGTCTTTGGGACTCCAGTATAAAATACAACATTGCCAGAAATATAAGCTGTTGCAGTGTAGCGTCTTGATGTTTTGTTTTGGAAAGTAATTATGACATTGAAATCACTGCCAAGAACTGAATCTTCTATCACAACATCCATATCAACCTCCGTATTGGATGAGATATCCTCGGTTACAGATTTTTTAACACCATACATTAGGGCAGTCTCCAGGGCCAGTCTTTCTTCTTCTGTGCCTGCAAAATAAATAGATATTGGCTGCCACAATATGTAAATTATCAGCCACTAACTTACAACAAGGCTAAAATTTAGCTTATCTGTGGCTTGATAGCTAGAGATGTGCATATTCTCTGCTACATCGTGATCTAATTTGCAGTCTACAAGCAGAAATAGGCCGAAGAATACTTGAGATCAGAATCTTCTCCTCACCTTCCCTCAGTATTTTATTGGGCCTTCTGGTATAACAAAAAAAGCCCACCAATGACTAATTTAAAAGAAGCCAATTTTAAAAGATGGTTTCTTGCAATTAACAAAGCTATCAGTCTCAGTGCTGGGTCCAAATAAATAATGAACTAAAAGTTAATATTCACAATACTTAAGGTGACCAACCGTCCTCCTTTAGGGAGGACAGTCTTCCTTTTGTAAGTTCTGTCCTCCCTCGAAAAGTGTCCTCCTACATGTCCTCCTTTTCAATATTTGAAAACTAATCTGTAGGGCTTTTTTTCCCCTCATAGAACGCTCAGAACGGCGTTCCGGCACCTTTTTTTGATGGTTTTTTTTCAACTTTTGCATGAGTTATGCTACTCCTGCTATTGGCTTTCAAATGCCAATAGGAATTGCTGCTGAGCGCGCCAAAACACCCGGCCGGCAAACTTTGCACATGCAAGTTGTCTGCGGCGAAGGCGAATTGGCAGGAACTTTGCACCCCTCCCTGCTACCCAACTACACCATCTCCTAGTTAGTCCCAAAAATACTTGGAGGAGACTGGAGCAGCGTCGCCACATAAGTTTCTCTTGATTTTCGGCCCTGCTAGGGCAATAATGGCTGCGGGTGCAAGAGGCAGGAGTGGCGGGGCTGCTGCGGGCAGGGGTGTGAGGGGCGGTGGTGGCCAGCTGCCCGCCATGCTGACTACAACCCGCTTTACACAGGGCTGCGCAGGGTGGGAAGTGGTGCTGGCGGGGTGGCTGCAGGTGGGGGGGTGTTGGCAATGGGCTGCCCCCCGGGGCTGGTGCTTTGGGAGCTGCAGGGCCCACTCTACATGGCGAGGCAGTGGTGCTGGTAGGGCAGCTGCAGGCGGGGGCGTGGCGGGCAGTTGACCTTCCATGGGCCGGGCCAGCTGGTGGTCTACCCAGTGCTGGACCTGCACTGCCGCCACCTTACCCTGCGTGCCTACGTGGCCATCCTGAAGCACCTGGCCCACAACACCTGCCTCCACCGCCCACCCCGTACAGTACTCATTTAAATAATAATTAATAGGCATGTAAGCATAATTACAATATAAAATTTTATTGTTACAAATGTTTTTATTATGCATTTATCATATTATAGTGTATTCTGTATCATTGTTGCAATGAATAAAATGTTTCTTTTATTTACAATATTTTTTTCTTCAATTTATTTGTGTCCTCCTTTTCATTGTAAAAAAGTTGGTCACCTTACAATATGGAAGCAGGAGAGAAGTGAAATGAAAGTTTGTGAGTGGAAGGTTTGCTTTGGCTTGTATGTGTCATGCAAAACCCAGGAACATAATTCAACTTTCATACTCCCTGATCATATCTCACATGTGATTTGGGAGTTAAAATCCAAAGGCTACTTGGCAGTCTAGTAATGTGCTAAACGATGTTAGTGCATGATATGTGAATATGATCAATATAGCTTGTATTGCTGCTTTATACCCCATTTGAAAATTAGCGGGTGGCACAGGAAACATAACAACAAATAGTCTGAATTATTCTTGTATATGGCACAGAGTCAAAAATATGTGAACAAGGCTTGTGAACAAGTACTAAAGAATATATCAGAATTTTACATGAACCAAGAAACTGTAATTAACAGCTTAGAAAACAACTTCAAACTGTGACTTTAAATATGGTTTTTTATGAACTTCTTAGCTGTAATTTTTTCATGGATGAAATGGGAGCTTGTTAACTGGAAGCTTCTTTATTTCTTTATACATTACCACAAAGACTAAACATTCAGAAGGGTCAGAGTAGAGAATAAGGGATACAATTCTGTGGATAGTTTTGTGATTCTGTTTTGTATCATTTTAGAATAGGACTCAGGTATGACTGTGTGAGGTTTTTTTTCTAATTGTTTATGTTCATTAAAAACTTCAGCATAGTCTGTACCTTTCCTTTTAATTTTTGTGGTTCTCCATTCCCTGTTTTCCTCTTCATAGGAATTCTTGCAATCCCAACTTCCTGTCTCCTGGGCTGAAGCTAACCCTTACACTCCCACTCCTCATTCAGTACAGATTGAGAATTCTGTGTTTGAATTCTGGGCAGCTTATGTTGTCTCCCTTCTGAATGCTTTTTATAAAATTTATCTCCATTCTCCATTCCACTCTTCTCCTAAAACCAAGTGCTCTAGAAACATGCAGCTGTGGTCATAACTACTGCAAAAAGTGTTCATGTTAACATATCCTGTTCATAACTCACAGGCACTTTTAAACATAAGAAAGAGATCTCTTGGTAGTCTTTATTTGCCTTTTTTAAAAACTCACTTTCTATCACATAAGTGTCTGTCATAGCAACTACTCTTTCATTTATTTATTTACAAGCCCCACCAGAAAAATGCACACAAATGCACATACTGAAAAACATGGATTATCTTTGGGGGCAGTACTAGCCATTTGTACAGAGTAAGAATATGGAGAATTTTGATTACTCCCCAGCAGTTTAGGTCAACATGGTTTTCATTGTTTTTGAGACTGCTACAGTGGGAGACAACTCTGGGTGATTTCAAACTACTTTGTGAGAAACTAGGAAATAAATATAAAGGTAGTGTCAATGTTATATAAATGAATGGCTTTTTATTTAGATTTGCCACATAATTACCTTCTGGAAATTTGTAACGCTCAGTGATGTCCTTCATTTTATTTGAACCCACTTCTTTAGTCAAAATTAATGCTCCAATCTGGGTTTTGTCAATATGTTGAATCACTTTAGATCCATTCTTCATTGCTTTTGAATATATAACATCACTGTTCACCTTAAACAAAACATCAGGGAAAAAAATCAGATGTGTTTCTGGCTAGTTCAAAACTCTGTAAGTTAGTGTCTCTCAGATTTTGGGCCACAAATGAATTCTGACCACATTTTAGGTAAAAATTAGATAAAATTAGGTAAAAATCTATCTACCCACAGGCAATCATTCAAAAATTCATTGCTCTTGTAATGCTACAGTCCAAATAAGTTTTTTTTCCTTCTAGGGGATGGTTTCACTAGGTTTTTACAAGCCTTGTGACTAGATTATCCAATGACTTTTGATGCAAATTTTCTTAGGAGATTTCTCTTTGTATCTCTGCATGAGCTACTGCTTTGGACAGTAGCTTATGCAGAGATGTAATCAGCAGGCAAAGTGAACATGTAAGCTTCTCTGAAAATGACGTTTTTTTTAAATTCTCACAAATGCTAAATCAGAGGTCCCCAATCTTTGGGGCACCAGGGACCGGTTCCTTGGAGAGAGGTTTTTCTGTGGACCGGAAGGTGTGTGGTTTTGTGTGCTGCCTGCATCCCACAGATGGGGCTTTGCTTGTTTGTGCAGACTGGTTGCTGGCATGCCGCGGCTCGGTACCGGTCCATGGACTGGGGGTTGGGAACCCCTGTGCTAAATAATTTATGAGAAACAATTTATACCTTAGATGAGGGTCCAGTTAAACCTTAACTTCTAGATAGCAAATATATTATCCTGGAGGTTTTGTTCAGTGCTGAATACAAGTAATCCTTCCTTAACGACAGTAATTGGGACCAGAATTTCTGTTGCTAAGTGACACAGTCGTAAAGTGCCATGTCAGGTGACCGCATCACTTTTAACAGAAATTCTGCCATTTTCAGTTGCTGTCATTAGGCGAATCCCATGCCATGCAACCATCACGTGGTTGCCATTTGCGACTTCCTGCAAGGTTCCTCATTGTCTTTGCTTGTAGGAATCTGGCAAAGAAGGTTAGCAAATGATGGCTATGTGACTGTGGGATGCTCCAACATTGCAATTACTAGATGGTCACCAAGTACTTGGATTGTAATCATATGACCCGGGGTTGCTGCAACGGCAGTAAGCACGAGAACTTGTTGTACCACCATGGTCACTGAGCAAGTGGTTCTCAGGCAAGGACCTGCTGTACCTTTGCACTGTGAAATAGTATTACTGTATAGTAGTTACAGAGTTATAAGTAGCATTTTTGTTGTAATAGATTAGAAATCAACAAGCTTTTCAAATGCTAAATGACCAACAAATAAAAATAAAATTTAAGTACATTAATAGTAAAGAATTACTTCAATCTTAATCATATTTTACTGAACCCATTTGAAGAAGAGCCCCTTGCATAAATGCATACCTCTGCAAAAACAAAAGGTGCATCAAACTGGAAATAGACATGTCCATGCTTGATGGCTTGAACAGAAGCTGGACCGCAACGATACATGCCTGTATGTGAACAATCAAATTGTGATCCAAGTTCTAACTCTTGTGCTATTATCCAGAACCCAGCCATCCTCCTTGCTTAGTTACTGCTGATGTGTAATCTTTTAATGCTATCTACTCAATCTGCTGTCAGCCTGAGACCATGGCAAAGCAAAGCTTTGAAAAGTTACATAATTAAAGCAAAGTCAATATGAATCAAATTTACAAACATTTATTCGAGTTCTTTGACAGCCATATACTAATATGCTAATATTTGTCTCTCCCAAAGAGCAAAAAAAAAATTCTCATTACACATACATGATCTCTAAGATATATATACATTCTGAAAAAAATGCTCAGGTCATAGATGCATTTAACTACATGATAATTGATAGTTGTTCTTTCTCCTTCCTTCCTTCCTTCCTTCCTTCCTTCCTTCCTTCCTTCCTTCCTTCCTTCCTTCCTTCCTTTCTTTCTTTCTTTCTTTCTTTCTTTCTCTGATTCAAAGTTCTGCAGAAAGCATACGGCTTAGGAAACACATAGGACAAAAGGTTTTGCTACTTGACTTCCAACCTTCATCACAACAAACAAAAATAAATTTAGTAACCCTGTACCCCCTTTAAAGTTACAAACATTTATCTTTTCATCCCATATCCCATCTCTTATCTGTGAACAAATCAATAAAACAATATCTTTTAAGTCCTAGTGTTCATAAAGAGTTGCCAGAAGTAGCAACATTTCTTGTTTTAACTTTGATCAAACAAACCAAATTTATATTCCTTCCTTTTATTTCAAACAGTCTTAATCTTTAATTCATTCAAAAACTCTCATAGGATTCGATGTTTCTTCATTTCTTCTTTGTCCCATTGCACAGAGTTCTTCAAAGGTTTTAACAAGCCTCTTTTATAAATCCAGTAAGAAAAAAGAATCCAAGTCACTCTCTTGGTCTGTCATTTGTATTTCCATTTTTAAAGTTCAAAATCCCAGCCAGTTCCTTTTGGTAGATCCAATAAAATAACCTTTTCTAAATTATTTTCTTGACCTGCCAACTGTCAAATCTACTTTTAATACCATCTCTATTTTGTCAGATAAAATTTGTTCTAATCTATCAATGGCATCTTTTGGACATAAGGAGACATCGTTACTGATACCATTAATATTGTGGCTACTGTTTTCTGATTCCATTGTTCAAAAGTCTCTTTCAGTATTTTCACTGCTGTAACAATTTGCAACATTTTACAGCCTTGCAAAGCTTTCTTCTATCTAAAAATGTTGGTCTCTCTCTCTCTCTATGTCCAGTTTTTGAAATCAAGAAATTGCTTATCTTTGTTTGGTCTTGTAAAAACCAACACAGAATATTTCCTGCAAGTAGGTGTTTATATTCTTTATAATTAATTCCATAATCTTATTGTAAAAGTTCCAGTTTTAATTGCTTATAACATTTTAAGATCAAAATCTTATTTAGCTTTCTGCTGCTTATTTCTGATTCTTTACATTTTTCAGTTTAGGATTAACATTTTCTTTCATTCAGGATTGAGGGCAGACTTATCCAGCAGTTTCAAACTTGTCAATCCAAAGGTCTTGAACAGTTTAGAAGTAGTTATGAGCAATTTCCAAAAGTGATTAGAAAGTGAGGTTTGTGAAGTTAGTGTCCTTTAAATGTCTCCACTGTGGTTTCTTTGTTTGGTGAACTAGACTTAGTCTCAGCTTAATTGAGGGACCTAAGTTCTGATATTATAAGAATAGGAAAATGGGTAAAAAATATTATATTTCCAGGTGGCAACTATTCTGCTACATGAGAATTTCTTTAAATAACAAGCCATCTTTTGTCCTGAGCTGGAGCAAAGAAAGGAAAAGAGATGCTTACCATCACTGTTTTCTTGAGGAGTACTATCTACAGCTTGCCAGCCACCAAAACCAACAGGAAGGTCAGGTCGGGACATCCAAGCTTCATTCCAGCAATGATAGTTCCTTTACGTAAGAAAATAACAACAAAGGGGTATTCTGGACTCCAGATGTGCCATTTATTAACACTGAATAGGAATAACAATACTTTTTCTTATAAAGATTTCTCTCTCTCCCTCCTTATATCATCCATCTATCTATGACACTCCTAAAGGAATGACAAAATCTTTCTCAACTACAGCTTGCCAGCCACCAAAACCAACAGGAAGGTCAGGTTGGGATATCCAAGTTTCATTCCAGGAATGATAGTTCCTTTACATAAGAAAATAACAACAAAGGGTTATTCTGGACTCCAAATGTGCCATTTATTAACACTGAATAGGAATAACAAGTTCTTATAAAGATTTCTCTCTCTCTCTCTCTCTCTCTCTCTCTCTCTCTCTCTCTCTCTCTCTCTCTCTCCCTCCCTCCCTCCCTCCCTCCCTCCCTATATCATCTATCTGTCTACTAAAGGAATGACAAAATCTTTCTCAACTCATTTTTATAAATTTAATAATGTTTTTGTAACCTGATTTTCAGGTTTGTTTGTTTTTTTCCCTTCCATAGATGGAGATTTAGTTCCTTGAAACAATGCTGCTTAATGCTAGTTTGCTGATACAGTGATCCCATTCAAAATATTGCCTTCCACTTACTGACAAATCTTGGCATGTGACTATTTCAATATTTTATAGCTTTGAGAAACATCTAGTGCAGTCTTCCCATCCTGGCTAGGAATTCTTCAAATTATAGTCCTAGTAGCACTGGTATAGTTCAGATTGGGCAAGACTCTGCTAGAGCAAATTGAATCAATTGTGTGCATTCACTTGTGTTGCAGGAAGAATTTTTATGCCAATGTCTACGTGAGGATTAGTGCTATGCACTGGGAGTCTTGGTAGTCTCCAGTTGTGCATGTCTTAACAATTAGGCTTCTAGTGCAGGGGCACCAAACTTGGCAACTTTAAGACTTGTGGACTTCAATCCTCAGAATTCCCCAGGCTGAGGAATTTTGGGAGTTGAAATCCACAAGTCTTAAAGTTGCCAAGTTTGGAGACCCTGGTGCATTATTTTATTACTGCTGCCTAAGTTGGTGAGTATTTTAAACTAAAACATATGGAAGGTTTTAGGAATCTTAATCCTGACATAAAAAACACTACAGCAAAGATTGATCTGAATCCAAAATCCCAAATGAGAACATTTTAAAATATTTATATGAATGATTATGGATCACTTCCCTCTATGCAAAGACATTTTAATATACATACAATAAATATTTTAATAGTAAAAACATATTTTTGAGAAATCTAAAATATATTGTTTGATGCACGTTCTTTAACAAATATTTAAGATTGTTTTAAAGAACTGGTTCAGGATATAGGAAACTATTAACAACCCATCAACATCATGCTGCAAAACAATTTAAAGCAAGCTTTCCATTGAAGATAGAAAGCAAAGTAAATGAAGAAAAAGGACCCAGAGGAAAAAAAATTGAAAAAAAGCTCCCACCATAAGTTAAATTAATGCTTGCCCCCAGGGGTTATGTGCATCATGTAGCAATAAATATACCATGAAGAGATGAGATTAAAGAGAAAGTTCAAAAAGTAATCAAGCCCCCGGAAGGCAGCATAGGGAGAAGGCTATTTAAAACACTATGGAGCTTTTGCTTAGCTGATGTAGATTTGCAGCATTCATTTCCTTTTATAGTGGAATAGACTTGGGGAAAAAAAACAATGTCATGGAATAAGTCCATTGAGTGAAAAATACATGAAAATATGAAAGATACCTAAAGATGGAGCTTCAGGAAGCTGTTGTCTCCTGTGACTTAAAGGGAATGGACAGAGGTAGTACATGACAGGGCTCTGAACACTGTAGATTTGGGAAGGAACTACATATTGGCTTCAGCAGGGAATAAACTATTAGTAAGCTTTGCTCCAGTAAAAAAAAAAAGGGACTCTAAATGCAACAACATAGTAAATAATTGGGGAAAGGAAGAAAAAGGCTTTCTCAATGGTGGCACCATGGCTATTAAATTAACTTTTGAAAGAGGCTCGTCTGGCAGCTACGTTAATCTTGCCACAGCACCAAGTTAATATCATTCTGTTTTCCCAACCATTTCCATCTATTCCAGCTTGAAACAGTTGCTCTTTGTTTTTATGCAGTGCTCATATGCTTTATGATGGAATATATTTTAATGGATATATTTTTACATTCAATTCCTTTTATGAGCTGCCAGGAAAACTTGATTATAGGCAGCCTTTAACATGATAAATAAGCAGGACAGTAACAGAATAGGGGAAGTAAGTAAAGGCTGCCCCCGCCCTCAACAACATATTTATGTGCCGAATGCATATTTTATTCCTATCTCCTTTCCTTTGGGAGCTACTATTAAAATAAGAATTATACAAACGATAAATAGTACATTATATTACTATTCATTTGTTTTCCATTTTATGCTCTCTGTAGGTTCAGGCATACAAAATCTCCCTAGCTTCCCCCTCTCTGATTAGAGTAATGGCAAAGGACCATACGAAAATGAGCAGTACGAGTCAGAATATAAAAGCACAGTAACTGAGCTTTGAAATAACCATAAAAATATTCACAATGTTGCTGAAACTGTGAGAGAGACTTGCTGTATTTGTGTATTATAATAAGCCAGAATTTCTGTGAAAGGGCAGGCTTGCTAGTGTTTGCTACTCAGCTGCTCCTTCTTGCCTGCTAAGTAAAGTGTGACCTTACATGGTTTGTTTATTAATGACATGGAAACTCCTACAAAGCCAGAGTTAGAAGCTATGGTTTATTCTTGCTTCTGACTTCTATTCTGAGTGAGAGAGAAATGCCAGGGATTTTGACTGACACATCAGAAAGACCTCTGCATTTGATTAAGGCATTCTTGTGGGCAAGATGATTCAACAGGCACAATCAAGGAGGCCCAGAATATTTGTGGAAGTTAAATCAGAATCTTTGGATTTTCACATCAGACTGAGCTCTGCTATATACAATCCATTTCATACAGCAACATCTTCACAAACTGCATAAATAGGAACCTACAAATGTACTCTACTCTACTCTACTCTACTCTACTCTACTCTACTGTACTCTACTCTACTCTACTCTACTCTACTCTACTCTACTCTACTCTACTCTGATAGATGACACACAAGGGATGGAACCATTACAGCTCTCTGTATAATTATATGATTAGACTTGTGTGGTAGTAGATAGAACTGATGAATAATTTCTGGTGTAATGTTTTGTTACATGTTAGCTCTAAATCATCCTACTGTGGTCTATATGGTTGTCTTCTCCCAGCGTCCCTCCAGATGTCACTGAGCATCAATTTCCTTTGCCCTTGATGATTGGATATCCTAGGAATATAGGGAAGCAGCAACATGTCCCTCATTCCATTCTATCTCATTGTATAAGACAGAAGATTAAGACTCACTTATGGTCACATAACTATTACAAAATCAACTGCAATTCTCCCGCAAATATACCAGATTGAATCTCTTGTGAGTTTGGAGTCCACCTTTCCATATTCATCCACAAACACATCCATCTGTAAGTTGGCATCATTATCATGAGCTGAAGAATAGTTAGTGATGACTCGTCCAGGAATTCCTAGAGTTCTCAAAACTGTACAAATAGAAAATAGCAAGTGTTTAAGACAATGTGACATTACAGGATAAAGTGAACATATATATATATGTATGTATGTATGTATGTATGTATGTATGTATGTATGTATATATAATGTGTGCCAATTTTCTCAACATGGTACTCTCAAAAATATTTTGGGACAATTCAATAGTTTTCAGTCAGCTTCTGGGATGATAGGGCAATCTTCACATTAAAACTAAAATCAGTTTGGTATAGTGGTTAAGGCATCTGGCTGGAAATCAGGAGATTGTGAGCTCCAGTCCTACCTAGGCACAAAGCCAGCTGAATGACCTTGGGCCAATTACTTTTCCTCAGCCCTGGGAAGCAGATAGTGGCAAACCACTTCTGAAAAACCTTGGCAAGAAAACTGCAAGGACTTCTCCAGGCAAGCTCTGAGAATTGGATATGCTTGAATGAAGGGGAAAAAACAAAAAGAACTACGGCAGCTAGCAGAAAACATTAAACCATTGTCTGATGTAGTCCACCTCACGATCTGTATAGTACTGTAAATGTTTGTATGCAAGGGCTGTTGTTGGAACTGAATTTTTATGCCACCTGTTCACCAAAGAATGGTGCTCAAAGCAGTGAATATTATATCCTTATTAACAGTGCTAGACATGGGAGTAGGTATCTAAGGCTTGACTGGTCCCATGGGAATCGGCACTGCCTTTGAGAGTCTCTTTGGTGCTCTCTTTGTTGGTTTATAGAGGAGCCAGTTACCTAGCCTTGTGCTTGTATAAACTGATTGGCAGGAGACGTAAAGTTTCAGGCAATCTTCTTCCCAGAGCTCTGCTAACAGGAATTAGGGAGCCCTCAATTATATTCCCAAAGCATCCATTTCATTTGCATGAATTCATTTTTTAATTGTCAACTGCATCTACATCTTGAGGGGTGAGAAAGATAACACGTTAGCTGTCCTTAACAGGCTTACAGATATGACCTGCTGCTAATTTAAAGGGAAATGGAAAGAAAGTCTGATGAAATAGCTGCCACACCAAGGAGTGTGATAGAGAATCAGAAACCACACTAGGGGCTGCTTAAAAAGCCTGCTAAGACATCTGAGATTTGTTTTTGACAACCCTGCAGTAATTCATCTTTTGTAGCCTATGATGGCTACAGTGCTTCATGAAGAAGAGTAACACTGCACATTTATTTTAACGGTTTGATGACAAATTACCTGGATACCTCTACTAGCACATGCACTTATTGATTATGCTTAATACAAATGCCTTCCAACACTTCCAGCACACAAGCCCTCGGGGCTCATTGGAAATAATTCAGCTGACAAGTTCAAGATTAATAGCTTTGCTCTTTCTTTTTTGGGATGTTTTAGCATATTTAATAGATGACTGTCCCCAATTTTTTGATATGGTAACCTTGGAAAGCTAAATAATTGAACTGGGAAAATGTTAGATGCTTTAAAGAACTGAAAACTGAAGCCAGAACTAACTGATGTAGGACTGGCTATCTAATCTGATGCTCCTCAGATGCATTGTGACCACAACTTCCAGAGTTCCCATTTCACACAGATAATGGTTGATAGAGAACTCTGGAATTTGTGGACATCACACATCTGGACAGCACAAAAGCAAATGGGTTCCACCTGCTTATATATAAAGTTTGCACTTTCCTATTTTCTGCCATCAAGTTACATGCCTTCAGCTTCTGTGTTTTCAACTTTCTGTTTACTTGTTCAAAGTATTTGCTTGCTCTTAAGCACTCAGCCTAACAAAAGGAAAGAGGTAAGAATCATGGCCTTTTTATTTGGTGGGTTTACATCAGGGGTCTTCAAACTTGGCCCTTTTTTACTCGTGGACTTCAACTCCCAGAATTCCTCAGCCAGCATGCCTGACTGAGGAATTCTGGGAGTTGAAGTCCACAAGTCATAAAAGGGCCAAGTTTGAAGACCCCAGATTTACATGCTTCATTTCTTGAAGTTCCTGTTCTTTGAAAATGGAAAGATGAAAATATTCTATACAAGTCTTTCTCAGCCAATGAAAGTGCTGGCTGCAAATGTGCATTGAATCCAATATATGTAAGCAGCAACAGGTAGGAAGGAATTATTTAACACAAAACATTTTTTCTTCCAGAGACATAAACATAATTTGCATCTTCTTTTCTTATTTTCTAAAACTCTTCATATAGCGGTTGAAAAGCAAACAGAGTAGGATTGTTTTAAGAAACGTAATAACTGTTTAAAATCCATATTTGAACACATGGCTGGATCGTTATCCAAAAATATTTATGGAAATCTACTGAGGATGCCAATGGGAGTGGGTGTCTCCCACTGAATAAAATGGACTAATTCTTCATTTGACAATTGCACAATTTCACCGCAGAACATTATTAGAGTATTATAGATTAGTTTTCATATGCAACTACAGGGGAGGGCACATTAGTCATACATATCTATATATAGTTATCTGGCAGCATCTATGAATACTGGCAAGAATGTAATATAAGAGATAAATATGCAGGCTGGAATTCTGCCAGCTGGGATAAAAACCAAGTGATTTTGTTTTACTGTATATATTTTTCACATGAGAAAATATATATACATATACAAAAATGTACATTCCAACATCTTCACTTTCAAAAATAAGTTGATGTCTGACATCATTAGCTCTCTGTCATATCACTTTACAAAAACAAAGACAAAGATGTTTACCTCCCAAATTTTAGAATCAGTAGTTTATACATATGTTATTCAGCAGGTAAAACTTCAGTAAGTTCAAGTTCAAATTCAGAATAGAAGGGAAGGGATCTTGAAGGTCTTCTAGTCCAACCCCCTGCTCAAGCAAGAGACCCTACCATTTCAGACAATTGGTTGTCCAATCTCTTCTTAAAAACCTCCAGTGATGAAGCACCGACAACTTCTGAAGGCAAAAGCTGTTCCACTGGTTAATTGTTCTCACTGTTAGGAAGTTTCTCCTTAATTCCAGGTTGCTTCTCTCCTTGATTAGTTTCTCTCCATTGTTTCCTGTCTCGCCTTCTGGTGCTTTGGAAATTAAGTTGACCCTCTCTTCTTTGTGGCAGCCCCTCAAATACTGGAACACTGTTATCATGTCACCCCCTAGTCCTAGACTATGGAAGCAAATTGTTCCTCTCCTTATAACACCAGGTACCCTCCAAATTGGCCCTGCTTAAAGGAACTCCAGATTATGGAGTTGCTACAGGAAAAAAAAAACTATGGAAATTTTGCTCTGCGTAGCATAATAAGGTAGGTAGAACACAATACTTCTTTTCAGGGGGGAAAGCCAATGTATATGACCCATAGCCCATGCAGGTAGTTACATCTTTGTATTATTTTGTGAGTACTAGAGTACTAGATTTAATTTTGAGGAAAGTAATTAGTTAATATTTTAGCTAGCTTGCTATCTGGCCTTAATGAAGCCATTCTCTCCTAGATTTGTGTTTATAATATTTAATGAAATAAGTTTATAACTGAGTGAGGCACTGAACATGAATACCATGTTTCCTAGTAATACATAGTATGAAAAACAGATGGAGTGTTTTTATTTAATGATGGAATAAAAATAATTTTTGTCTGCATTTTGACATGAACTTTTGCAGTTCTCATTTCCTGAACAATAATTAATTGGAACACAAGAAGTACACAAAATCTGTATTTCTCCAGATTTTAAGATACTCAGGAGAATATACTAAAGTAATAATTGGAAGGGGGAGACATGGTATGAAGCTACAAGCAGGCCTTAACATGGAAAGAGGGCAGACTACTAGCTTGCTTCTATCCCTCACAGGCTGCAGTCTAACCTAGGAAGATTAGATGGCTGGCTCAGGAATTCTGGGAGTTGAAGTCCACAAGTCATAAAGGGTCCTGTTCTTCAGTGCCAAGTCAGCTCATGGTTTAAAAAAAAAAATCTATTTTCTAGGATTTACTATTTGAAGAAAATGCTATTCGGGCATCTTTTGCCAAGAACCAACTCTGTCTATGGATTGGAGAGTGGAAACATGATGTGGTTCGTGACCTGTAGAATTTCACCACTGATATATTTTCAGTTTTGAGTTTATGCTGTATTTGTGTTGCCAGGACAGTAAAAATGTACTGCTGGTATACTCTTCATCCTTCTGCCTATTGGCATATTGACTATCTAGGGGTTGTTGTTGTTGTTTTGGAAAGTTCCTTATCATGGAGTCTTCAATATTCATGTTGAATCAAATCTGCAGACTCAAAACATCTCAGAATTCAATGGCCCCTGATTTGTCCTAACTAGTATCTGACTTAGTTTTTTTGAAGATGAGGTTGATACTCTGTTCAGGTAAAGCTGATGCTTTGAAAGTACAGGAACTCTGGGCAGTTTCATTATCATGAACAGACCATTCCCTTGTCAGTGTTAGATTGACAATCAGTTCTTCCTGATAGATTATGTCTAATAAATAGAACTGAGGATTTGTTTAACACCTAGCTGTTGACATTACAAGCTTTGGAATAAGGTGCCAAGAGTATGCTGATGCCACCCACTCCAAGAAAGCAATTGTTGGATGTTGCATAATTCAATAACATGTTTAATCAGAGAGAACAAATAGAAATTTAAACCCAGACAAAACACATTAGTAAATCTAAATTAGATTTGGTGTTTAAGATTCAGCAGGGTTGGATGAAATTACCCTCCCCCTAAAAAAAAGATGGCCACAGTTTGGTGCCTCTTGATTCTAAACTCTTGCTGAATATGCAGATAAGTATAGGGCAGGGCTTTTCAACCAGTGGTACGGGTACCACCTGTGGTACATTGGCACCTGGCAGGTGGTACACAACCATCCTAAAAAAGTGATAGCGGGGGAGGGGAATGAGCTGAACCAGAGATGGCTGGAGCTGCAGGGCTGTCAGGGCTCAGCGGAAGCACCAGGATCAGTGCCAGGCTCCAGCTAGAGCTCGGCGCTGATCCTGGCGCTTCTGCTGAGCCCAGAAGCGCCGATCAGGTGGAATGTTGCAGCATCTCCAGGATCTTGTGATTTACATTCAGATGCTTGGCAACTGATTCATATTTATGATGGTCACAGTGTCCCAGGGTCATGTGAAGTGACCAAAACCTGCTGCAACTACCCAGCAGACAGGTGGAATAAAAAGCAAACACCCCCACCCCATCTCCATTGCCAATCCCCAACAGAAATGCTCACAACAATGAAAACCTCGGACAGGAGGAAGAGCGCCGCCGAGTGGGCAAGCAGGTATCTTGCTCGGCTGTGGCTTGGGGGGCACTTTTTTCAGTGCCATTGTAACTTCGAATAGTCATTAAGCGAACTGTTGTAAGTCGAGGACTACCTGTACTTTATCACTTTTTTCCTTTTTTGGGGGGGGTCATCAACTTTTTGACACCTTGCTAGGTGACCAGTGGTACTCGGCTATTGCCATATCCTAAAAGTGGTACAATGGGTGAAAAGGTTGAAAAGCCCTGGTATAGGGTGTCTGCACTGAAAGACCTTAACTTATGGTCAAATATTTGGTGGGCAAAATTTAATATTAATGTCTAATTTTTTTACTAACAATCAATTGGCAATCCATCAGTGCAATTTTAAAATTCTAGTTGGCTTAGGAGCTGACTATCTGTGGGAATACCAAGACTGTGAACACGTCTGGCCACCAAATCCTGCAGAAGATGCAATTGCACGTCAAAGGTACAGTTCTCTATCCTGTATGAGTGTTTCCTACATAATTCCTAGCTTATAAAATGCACTTCCTCTGTATTTAGGAAATTTGTAAATAAATATTTTTCTGCTGGATTTTTGTTTATTTTAAGGGGTTTTTATACTTTTTATATTTTGTATTTTAATCAAGGGTAAGCAGTTATTGATACGTATTTGAGCAGAGATCAATCCATTAATAAAGCATAAAATGTACTTATGTTGAAGAAACTTAGGAAACATGGGAAAATTTACTTCTTTGCCTGTTATATAGGAATGAAGAAATGTACAATAGAACAAGCTATTGGGTGAGAAGAAAAGTAGGAATAGGGCTGGTGTTTTATTTTGTTTTTAATTTCGGTTAATTCCAAACTTAGTGTGCACTACAATTCCATTAGTACAATGCATATTAAATAATTTCTTTAACAGATATAAGGAACTGTTAATCCCACTGAATGATGACTTTTATCATCCCTCATGATTGGCATACTTCTGAAGCTGCCAGAAGGTACAGTTCAATGACACCTAGAAGATGCCAGATCCTCAGCTCTATATAAACCTTAATTGTTATATTTTAAACAGAGATTAATTATACTCTTGGTACTACATACATATTAATAATATTAAATATCAAAAGGTGCTGGGGGAAATCTCATATTTAGAAAGGACATCATTGTATTAATAATATCATTCTTGTTGCACATTTAGTCTCCTACTTACAAGTGTTGAAAACGCCAGCAAAGACCCAGCACTGCCCATATCGCACTGGCTCCTTAGTACTATAATACTCCAATAGAATGTCTACACTTCCTGTCCAGGAAGATGGTGGCACTCCATATTCATAAAGGTTGTCCCAAGATCCATAAACTACACCTTTATCATCTTGAGCATTGATCTGAAGAATAAATAAATGAATAAATTGAGTCATTGTTGATGTTAATCTCCTATAGACCAAAGATATTTAACCTATGTCAATTATAAGTTACCGTAAAATGCCAGAGTGATGTTAGAATAATTATCTTAAGAAGACAAAGAAGGGACAAAGTTTAACATTTTGATGCAAATGGGATTCTATTATTACACAAGGAGAATTGGATTATTTTGATGTTGGAAGTAAGGACGTGTGTCTAGTAATGGTGAAAGAGATTGAACTGACCCAGTTAGGTGCTTTACAATTGAATCTGAAAGGAAACTTAGTTTTAAAACATATGTATTATGCAACTACAAGGCAGGCCACATTTTTCTGGAGAAATAAATAATGCCTACTCAACAAAACATTTTGCCTAATTGATTCTTATTAACTCTTAAAGGCAAATCTGTGTGAGAGTCTGACTGAGCAGATACTGCTGAGTTATCTTGGTTTGTAACGTAGCCAGAATTTGAGCCTGTGATTCCTGAGAACATGGGGAGAATCCTCAGAACTGTTAGTTCAGTTATTTATTCATAAGTTCTATTTGCCTGGTTTACTAAGATTTCCTGGGAAATGACAAGCAGTTGGATCCATAAAATAGTAAATTCAGAGATGAAGCAGTACTGTGTTCTCTCTTTAAAAAACAAACAAACCTATTGCTAGGTCCAATGACTCTGAATAATTTTTATCCAACTTCCAGCTTTTTCTTTGGGGGTCAGATCAAGGAGAAGCTTATTGGATTAAGGTTCCAGAATTCCGAAGAAGCAAATTGTTTGGAGCTGTTTCAGTCAAGTTGCAAGCTGGGACATAGTATGGACACTGTGTTTATCATATTTGTTGCTGAACTCTGGTGGAACTAGGAGTCATCCTGGTTCTTCTTGATTCTCACGATGGCTTTTGACACAATCAATGATAGCATCTTTCTGGACTAGCTACAGAATATGGGATCAGGAGTGTTGCAGTAGTTCTTCTCCTTTCCCCATGACTAATTCCAGTCAGTAATGATGGCTGACTAGAAGACCAGCCTGACACAATCTCCTAGTTGTGGGTGGTCTCAGGGCTTAACACTCTTGCCTTTCCTGTTAACATTTATATGAAATAGCTGGATGAGGTTGTCCATCAATATGGGGTCCAGTATGATTAGCACATTAAAAGTTCAGGAGTAACCTCAAGTGGTGGCACAGGTGTGTGCATTTGATGTGCATCGTTTGTCTTGGATATGGTATATTACTCCTCATGTGTATTTTAGTTATATGTATTGGATTGGATTTTGATTGAATAATACCCAGAGTCATTGTAGGTTTGGCAGCCTTATAAATCTAAAAAAAAATAGTAAATGTACCAAAGCCTTCATTTAATCTTGGAAGTTGTAATTGTGTAATAGGAAAAATCATATCCCATAGCATCTTTCCCCAGCCTGATACGTTGGACTTAACAATTCCCCAAATTCTCAACCAACATGATAAAAATTCTGCCACTGGGGATTTTGAGGTTTGGAGTCCCCATATACTTGAAAAGCAATGACTGGAAGGATAAACTATGCATAGATTATAAAACATTTTTTTCTGTCTGATATAATGCTTTAGAAAGAGCATGTAACAAATTCAGCTCTGTTATGTTTAAGACCACAAGCCATAATTCTACCTTCCAGGCTGTGCTGCCCATAGGGTCAAGGCATAACTGCCAGTGTAAATTCACCTGCATTTCTCTTGACACGCTTGAGTGCACAATATAAGGACATAAAATTTAAACAAACTTGGATGGGGATTTTCCTACATATAATTCCTACATTATACACTGAGGGGCTCCCTATCACTTCAAAATGGTTCTGCAATTCAGGCCCAAATCTATAATACTTCAAAAAACCAGATGTTTCTAGAAAAAGAGTATTTTACAACAAAAGAAAAAAGTGTCATCTAACTCATATTTGTTCCAATGTATTCCTTCACAATCTCATCAATTTCAGTCTGTTTTCCAATCTGAGTTAAAAAGAAATAACTAGGTCCATTGTGGGTTGCCCATCACGAAAACAAGATTTTGCTTGTCTAAGTTTGCTGGAGGTGAGGCTTCATGAAGTAACAGTTTTGATGACTAATGACAAAATGGATAGCTATTAGTGAGCTATGCATTTCCTCCCAGCAATTTGAACCAAATCAGTGGAGGTAATGCAGAAAAAGCTTCTTTACTTTCTATTGCTTTCTTCTTTGCTTGTAATTATGTTAATACTGAGCTGCTACATTCTTGTCAAATAAATCACGACTCTCATTGAAACGCTTTTGGCTGGATTAACTACTAGTTTCTAATTAGAAAATCGACGTCCTGTGAACCCTGAAGTTGGACGAGATAAGTATTTAGTAGGTCTAATGAGTTTAGGTAAAGACTCTTGGTTGTCTTGAAAAATAGGTCCACCTAGGATATGAACAAGGTGGCATTTTTATATTACAAATGTTTGTCATACACTCCAAAATCTCAATGTTGCTACCAAATCACAAATGTGGAAGATAAGAGGAAAGCTGGATTAAACCTTTAATCTTCTATACTTTTTTCAGACTAAAGTATGTTTGTGACACTATTTATGGACACCTGTAAAATACTTGCAGAAACTTTCAGTTCATTCTTACATAACAACAAGTATTACTATTGAGCATAACAAATAATAGCTTACCTCAGGGTGTTTGCAGAGTTCATGTTAATGGAGGTTGAAGATGGGGACCTCCTGATTATTAGCTACAATGCCATAGCATACTCAAGACTGTATAAAAATTCTATGACATGGGTCAGAGCTGGTCTTCCATACAAGGGATGAGGGTTAGGCCAATGTGATACTGGAAGGCAAAACTAAAACTGATGGTCTGGTTGGGGAAAGGTTAATAGTGGAAATCAATATACCACCATTCACATCCCACTGCAGTAAAATGGGAGTGCAATATGGAAATGGTCTTACTTATTTTAATAAAAACAGCAATGGGGAAAATTACAGTAGGGAATGTTTATACTTTTGCCTCTGAATCTGGGCAGTACAATCTTGAAGTGATTCAAGAGCCACAAAATGGAGAAGCTTAGGAAGCCCACAAACAATATGGTGTCCCACCTCCGTTTAATTCCAAGCTATTTTATCTGAAAGTCTTGAGGGATATCCTGAAAAATATTTCTAATTAGATAAATGAAATGATAGTGAACTGAGGCGACCCAATAATTCACCAGAATAGAGATTACAAGGATGATCAGATGCCAAGAAAGGGCAGGTTTCTCATGCCTTGAACAGTAGAAGAGATACCGTATTTTCCGGCATATAAGACGACTTTCTTTTTTTTTTTAAATTGAAATTTTTTATTTTTTAAAACATACAATCATTTATAAAAATACAATAAAATTTTAAAATAGAGAAAACCCCCCCTTACCCTCCCTCCTACCCCCACCCCCCCTCCCTTCACTTCCCAGAGCAGAATACAGGGTTAAAAAAAAAGAAAATTATAATAATTAAGAAAAAAGAAAAAAAAGAGAGAAAAAAAATATCATAATTAACCTTTAACTCCATAACCTATAAAACAATTCTCTATAATATTTGATATTCATTCATAAAATAAATAAAACTGCTTATTTAAAGGATCATACACAAGAAAGATATATTACTGTATGGGGAAGGTGGATAGATTATATTCAGAAAAAGTATGGAATTAAGACGACTTTCTAACCATGCAAATCTTCTCCAAAGTCGGGGGTCGTCTTATACACCGAGTCGTCTTATACGCCAGAAAATACGGTAATTTGTTAGCGCAGTCCTGAAAAGTTCATCCTTCTCTCTTTAGGAAATACTGTCTGCCTGCTACAATTATCATAGGTGAATATGAAATTCATTATATTTTCTTCTGTCATCCTGTCCAATGCCAACAAACTAAATTCAATACTAAAATGCAATACTGTACTAAATCATTTAATGATTGTTAAAATTAATATTAGTTATGGGATGACAAATTTGATGTGATGTAAAAAGTGTTAGCATATATAAAAGCAGGACATACATCTATTAAATAAACGAGGTTGTGTTCATGTTTAAATAACAGTGCCATGAACTGGAGCAATTATTTAGGTTGTAGATCATGGGAATAGAGAAGAGTTAACTTTCCTCACCACCAACCCAATGAAATTTTCTTCCCTAAGGTGTTGTTAGTTCATCCAGCCCAGACTAATAACAGAGGAATTTGCTTCAGAACTGAAACATCAGAGGAAAAGGTTAGCTCTCTCTTTCATGTTGGCACCTGACAGCGATAACAACTAAATATGGTTTGCTAAGAGATGGTTAATGTGGGGTTCATTTGGACCAGGGGTAGGCAACCTTGGCTCTTTTATGACTTGTGGACTTCAACTCCCAGAATTCCTGAGCCAGTGGTCATTCCAGGATGCCCCACAAAAAAGAAGATGAAGCAAGCCCAGCTTGGGTACACATGACGTGAACATGAGTAGCATTTTTGCTGTGAAAAAGAGGGAAAAGCCAGGAGTTCTACTTTGCTTCTGGACTAGTGAATTGGCAACCAGGTTTTCAATAAATTAGAGATAGTCCTTTCTCTACTTTCAATAAAGTAGAGATCTTCCTTGCTAGCTAAGTCATGAAACAGAACAAATTTACCCCACTCCTGCTATATATTTAAGTAGAGTAAGAAAGGAGAAGACTCCTGCGAGTCCCTTGGACTGCAAGGCATTCAAACCGGTCAGTCCTAGAGGAGATCAACCCCGACTGCTCTTTAGAAGGCCAGATCCTGAAGTTGAAACTCAAATACTTTGGCCACCTAATGAGAAGGAAGGACTCACTGGAGAAGGGCCTAATGCTGGGAAAGATTGAGGGCAACAGAAGAAGGGACGACAGAGAACGAGATGGCTGGATGGAGTCACTGAAGCAGTAGGTGTGAACTTAAATGGACTCCAAAAGATGGTAGAGGACAGGAAGACCTGGAGGAACGTTGTCCATGGGGTCGCGATGGGTCGGACACGGCTTCGCAATTAACAACAACAACAACAACAACAACAAAGAGTAAGAAAAAAATCGTAACTAGATTCCAAATATTGCGCAAAGTATATGCTTAGCTTACTACACACCATAGCAGAGCCAACTCGGCTGACTTTGATAGGATTCCCTCGTCCAGAAAGGTCCAGTTGAGCTCTGTCCATCAAGTATAGGCAAGCATCCAAAATATCTTCTTCAAACTAAATAAAAGGGAGGAAAAACAGAAATAGAGAATAGATTCAATACTTATTCTGCATAGCAAAATAAACAAAAACAGGACTTCAGCAATGTTCCATGTGGGAAATGCAATCTTTCTGTATAAGAATGCTATACTTGTAGTTTCAGCTGAATCAGTACAGAAAAAAAAAATACAGAATGTTATATCAAGTTTTGAAGGACATAGCATAGACATAGCATTGACATTTATAACATGGTTTAATGAGTAAGCAAGTGACAGGAATATTTTTACCATAGGTAATGATGAATCTGTTCCAAAATTGTTGCTGGAAAATTTAGATTGATTTCTGCTTGTTATCTCAATTATTTTATTTATTTATTTGTATCTTGACTTTATTATTTTTACAAATACCGTATCTCAAGGAAGGGAACACATCCAACACACCTTCCTCCTCTTATTTTCCTCACAACAACAACCACCCTATGAGATGAGTTGGGCTGAGAGAGAATGACTGGGCCAAAGTCCCCCAGCTGGCTTTCAGGCTAAGGCGGGACTGGAACTCATGTCTCCGCTTTCTAGCCTGATGCCTTAACCACTAGATCAAACTGGCTCTCTTGACTCAATTAACCATAGTTTAGGATATTATCTGAATCCTGAATCATTTTAAATATTTATAGTTTAAGCAAATCAGTTTTATAACCCATTATTTGAAGTTTAATAACAATAACAACAATAACAACAACAACAATAATAAAGTTGGAAGGGACCTTGGGGATCATCTAGTCCAACCCTCTGCTCAGGCAGGAAACCCTATACCATTTCAGACAAATGGCTGTCCAGTCTCTTCTTATACACTTCCAGTATTGGAGCATTCACAGCTTCTGGAGGCAGGCTGTTCCACTGATTAATTGTTCTAACTTTCAGAACATTTCTCCTTAGTTCTAGGTTGCTTCTCTCTTTGATTAGCTTCCATCCATTGCTTCTTGCCCTGTCTTCAGGTGCTTTGGAGAATAGCTTGACTCCCTCTTCTTTGTGGCAGCCCCTGAGATATTGGAACAGTGCTATAATGCCCTGGTCCTTCTCTTCTTTTTTTTTTTATTGAAAAATTTTTAAAAACTTTTACAAAGACAGAAAAAAAACAATAACAACAACAAAAATCAAACAAAACAATACAACCCTCCCCCAACCCCTCCCAAACCACCCCCTCCCTCCCCCCCCCAGAGCTTCCCAGAGCAGAATATAGGCTTAATAAAAAAAAAATTAACAAAATTATAAGATAATTAAAAATAAAATATATATAAAAAAAGAGTTGTAATCCTTAAAGAGAGAAAGTATTTAAAAAAGAAAAACAAAGAAAAAAAGGAAAAAGTAGAGTTTTTATACAAGTTATAAAAAAGCTAAATGATATTTTTTCAAATCCAGTTTAAATTGTATGAAATTTATCCATTTTTCCCATACAGCAAAAAATTTCTGTTGTGTTTGCTCTTTTAAGAACGCCGAAATCTTTGCCATTTCCGCCAAGTAAGATACTTTAAAAAACCACTCCTGCAAAGTAGGCAAAGATTCCTTCTTCCAGTATTGACCTACTAACAGCCTTGCGGCTGTAATCAAATTCAACATCAATATAACCTCCTTAGCATCACAATCAGTAACAATACCAAGCAAAAACAATTGTGGAGTAAATTTTACCCTCTTTCTAAAAATTCTCTGAATGTTCCACCATATCTTAATCCAAAAAGCTTTTATATTTTTACACGACCACCAAATACGATAATAAGTGGCATCCAAGCAGCCACATCTCCAACATTTAGGCTGTAAGTCAGGATACATGAAAGACATCTTTTGTGGATCAAGGTGCCATCTGTAAAACATTTTATAAAAATTCTCCCTTAAATTCTGGGCTTGTGTAAACTTAACATTTCTCACCCAGATAGTTTCCCAGGTATCCAGTAGAACTGGTTCACCAAAATTCTGCGCCCATTTAATCATACAGTCTTTAATTAATTCTGATTCTGAATCCAGTTCCACTAGCACCCCATAAATTCTCTTAATGTGAGTTTGTCTTTGATCCTTTATTTGCTTAAAAAGATTTTCATCTTCTCTAAGCAGGTCTAAATTACGGTCCATCTTCCATCTATCTACTAATTGTCTATATTGAAACCAAGAATAGGTAATATTTTCATGTGCTAGGTCTTCCAAAGATTTTAACTGCCAATTTTGACCATCCCATCTAAGTCCTTCTCTTCATTAAACTAGACATTCTTAATTCCAGCAACCGTTCCTTATATGTTTTAGCCTTCAGTCCCCTAAATCATCTTTGTTGTTCTTCTCTGTACTCTTTCTAGAATCTTAACATCTTTTTTACATTGTGGTGACCAAAACTGGAAGCAGTATTCCAAGTGTGGCCTTGTTCTGGAAAACCATAATGCACCAATGAGATTTGTTGAGTTCAGATAAAACTACATGTTTTGGCATTATTTATGGCTGGATTGCAAAAGAAGTAGACAATCCTGAAGATAATTGTGGCTCACCCACATTACGTTAAACTATGGTTGGACATAGCATGCAAAAACATCCATTGTCTGCCTCAACTCCATTCCAAAACCCTTTGCCATTTCCAGTTTGTTTCTCTGTTGATGTTATTAATATAAAGGCATGACTTTACCAAAGAATATTAGTAACTTAACTCTCTTTCATGAACAAATTAGAAAATAGATGAATTTCCACAGTACACTGATAATATTATTATAATATTAGTAAATATTATATCATCTCTCAAAAGTAACTAAGGGAAACAGTTCTGGATTTAGTTGACCTATGTTAAAATGTGGCCAGATTTGCATATCACACATAATGGTGCAGTTTGCATGGTAAATAAATGCAATTGTAAAGTTGTAAAAATTATATTTTAACTTTTAAAGCTAGGTTTCATACTGCACATGAACCTCAAAAGACTGAAAACTTCTTTAAACCATAAGTGCACATATAAATGAAGTCGATACACCCACGTTACACCTATACTCCGTGAGCTGCACTGGTTGCCTATTGGTCTCCGGGTCCAATTCAAGGTGTTGGTCATTACCTTTAAAGCCCTATATGGCTCAGGGCCAGGCTATTTGCGAGACCGCCTACTACCTCATAGTTTCCTACGTCCGGTTAGATCCCACAGGCTGGGCCTCCTTCGGGCCCCGTCGACCAAGCAGTGCCATTTGGCAGGGCCGCGGAGGAGGGCCTTCTCGGTGATGGTGCCCACGCTTTGGAATCAGCTCCCCCCGGAGATTAGGACCGCTCCCACCCTGTTGGTCTTCCGTAAGCTACTTAAGACCTGGCTTTTCCAGCAGGCCTGGGGTTTATAAAACCTTACCCCTGGATGATTGTTTTTGTATTGTTGTTTGTTATGTTTTATGTGTTTTTTATTGTTAGCCACCCAGAGTCCTTCGGGAGTGGGGCGGCTTATAAATTTTAAAAATAAAATAAATAAATAAGTCAGAATAGATTCTTATTTTATGTTTATCTTCTAGGGCAGTGGCCCCCAAACTTTTAGGCACCAGGGACCAGTTCTGTGGAGAGAGTTTTTTCCACGGACTGGAGGAGGCATGGTTTCGCATGCTGCTTGCATCCTGTGAATGGGGCTTCGCTTGTTTGCGCGTCCTGATTTCTGGCATGCAGTGGACCAGTGCTAGTCCACATACCGGGGGTTGGGGACCCTTGTTCTAGGTTTTCATGCTACACCATGTTACTAGAGATCAGAACAACATTCAAACACCAAGATTATTCATTTGGAACTCAGAATAGTTTATATGGTTGTCTTTTTTCACAATAAACCTGTTGAGGTAAGAGAGAACAACTGCTTAAAGTCACTCAGAGAATGGGGTGGTTGAACAGGGACTTGTGCAAGTCAGATATACTTTACAATATCATAGATACAAATCATTTTCATAAGAGTTGTATATTTAAGGTTGTTATTCTTGACTACGGATAATATAGCTTAAAGCAGGAGCAGCTGCAACAGCCAGAGGTGTCAGTATTTACCCAAAATATTAAAATAAAATCACATATTCCAGGTGAACTTTAATATTAAAATATACATAAGGTATACAGTGTATTGCAGAGGGCAGTAATACTTTCATTCTAAGATCATCTTTCAATCATGCCCTATATAGCTAATGGTAAGCTATTGCCCAGCAAGTCTTGCAGACACCAGCCATAGCAAGTGTTCTTAAACTATCATCTTTGAAAATGAACGCTGAAAAAAGACTTTAATTCTGGGGGCCAATGACAACAACGACAAGAATAAATAGGGGGCAGAAGTGCCTAAATGGAACAGAATTCATTATGGAAGAGCCTGCCCTATGGTACAGTTCAATTTGCTCAGAAGAAATTGCATAGCAACCAAAAAATGACATTGTCTGTTGGTAGACAATCACAGAGATGGCAGTAAAGGCACATGACTTCAATTACAAGCTGTTCTAGATAGTGATAAACAAATGAGGTAGTTATATTTCCCTTACAGGCTGAATCCTAACAATTTTTGAAGTTTTCCTTTATGGACAGAAATTTATTCTCTTCTTTCTTTAAAAATGCTAACTGTCTGAAAATAGCAACAACATATAATAGATCAAATCTGTAATTTGTTATGGTATAACACACTTGTATATGGTATAATATCCATACAGGCTGTTTAATACACTTGCACCAGGTAGGACAGGATGCATTTATAATTTGGTCATTTCTTTGGCTATGTCATCCATAGATTTCTTATTTCTTATTTTTCTTTTTCTTTTGGTACAGAGCAGAATATCATCACTAAATAATGAGTTATAACCTCATAATATAAAGCTTAGTCCCAAAGGAGATGCTCCAAGAAATATCTTCAAAAAGCTGAATGTTTACCCTCAAGGCTCACTCACATGTCTCAATAGTGTACCCTTGTAAATCCTGGAATAAGAATACTCACTGAAAATCATAGTTTAGAGAGGGTGGACAGTAGTATTCATACTAATGGTATTTTCAGTATTGAAC